GTTAAGTTTCATTCGATAACTTGCTTCGGGTTTTTTCTAGTGTACCTGGAATGTCGCTAGTGACTCCTGAAGGGAAAAAGTTAAGTAATATTCGAGAAATGTTAGTAGCAATTGGTAGTTTCAGGATTTGATTTAATAACGATGATTCGATGACAAATTTCTAGAGGTCGATCAAGCTTTCGTAGTGGATAGTCAGAATCGTTTTGGTACTTGGATTGGTATTTAGCGTAATGAGCGCCATACGAGACCACCCAATGATCATCTCGGTTTTTTTCTTAAATCCTCAAGTCAGTCCTAGATTGGAGTAAGCAACAAGAAGGATAGTGCTTGGATGGCGCCTCCCTCAAAAGCTCAGCAAAAAACAAAAAATAATGAGGTCTCAAGATAAAAGTGGCTTGCGGAAGCTGCTGTGGGAGAAAATGGCGAGATAGCCGAATTTATTTATGCTTTCATTTGACCACATTCTGACCTTACTGCTCCAAGAAAACGGTCGTGATGGCTGAGAGACGAAGATGAGTTGGACATATCAGAGGTGGGAAGAGGTCGAGAGCGCGCAAAGGCATGGTTAGACCTTCCAACACTGAGGTTTCCAACTCGCTTCTGCCTCTCAACCTCGCCACCGCTGCCTTCAATATCTCAGTCGGTTCTCGAGCAGGATCTCACGCTATCGTATCGTACTTGCATGACTCGTTGTCTCAAAGGTCTAAGCAATCAGCTGTTTCCATGAATACATGGTAGGCCAGTTAGCAGCACACATATGTAAAGGGATAAATCATTGCCGTGAGCATTTGCTGACACGTAACAAGGCAGGATAAGGCCGATGTCAGACTTTGCGAATCGCGCGATTCGCTAGCGTCCGCGGTCGCGTTGCGGTACCAGCCAATTGAGTGATTCACTGGCCGCGACGCGACCGCAGACGCTAGCGAATCGCGCGATTCGCAAAGTCTGACATCGGCCTAAACAAGCATACAAACGCCACCACGATTCAGTGAAAGCCGAGTGCGTGACGCATATTGAAGAAATTATTAATTCTTATGAGTGAGTTTGTTTGCTGTGAGCTTGAGACTGAATGAGCAGTGAAAATAAGAAGGTCTCATAAGTGAGGAATCGTGCAAATTGAATCGTATAATCTCAACCAGTCTTCAGGTTGATGTTCGAGATGAATGCGGTGGACGGATGAGTGCGACGGAGATAACGCAGAGCAGATAACTAAACTGAACACACAAGAAAAATAAAAAATAGAACGCTGACCATTATATGAGAGAAATATAGAGTAAAAATAAAAAACAAACATATACAAAAATCAAATGTTTGCATATGACCGCTGAAACATAAATTTTTCTAATATGCAGAGTTTGCTTAAGTCAACTTCTTTCCTTTTATGGCTAAACGCCATTTCATTGTGCTTTATATTACATATTTGTGTACAAGTGACAAATAACGACGCGACCGCATCAGGCCAAGTAGCGCATTTTCTATTAAATAATACGTAAAAAAGTCCATTTTGAAAAAAAAATGTGGTTATGGTTGGCAAGATTTTAACTTTTCGCATAACTAGAAGTTGCGAAAGTTACGACATAAGCATAAAACTAAAGAATGTGGGCAATATTTGACTAAGACTTCTAGTTCTTATTGTGATCGAAAATACCCAAATGTACAATGATATAATGATAATACGCTATTCGCATCCAATAATGATCACTAACACTTATCAGTGATCAGCATCACCGGTAGTGATCGTGGTAGGTCGCCATGGTCGATTACGGATCTGTGTAGGTGAAGACTGTGTCTTTAGATGGACCTTTAGAGCCCCTAATTCGAGTCTTACAATCGCGAAAAACGAAAAACACGTAAATGCCACTGGTTTATAGTTTTGGTCACTTCAAGAGAATAGGGCACAACGCCATTATAAGAGCTACCTAAAGAAAAAGGATAAAGAGGATACCTAAGGAAAAATGTTCTGCGCATACTTAAAGGAGGATTTCACGATAAGAACGAAGGTCAAAGAAGGGGAAAATTGCCTAGTTGGGAGACAGGCGGACCTCCTGAGGGTGCGGACCGACGCGCAATTGGCAGCGAAAGATTTGACCTCGGCGATCTAGCATGGCTCACTCTTGGCGCAGTTGGCGCGGTACGCCCACCGACATAGCAGAGAGAGCGTTAGCGTTGAAGAGGGCACGATGAGAGTCGCATCAATGCGGAAATCAACGGGCAAGGAAGGGGTCCCATTTCTCGGGTTCTGGGCCGTTTCTCATGGTTTTTCCTTCTTTTTGTACCACTCACCATCCCTAACTTAATTTGGAATGGGTTGCCTTTTCAGCGTGAATTCGTCCTTTGACTTTAACCAAACTCTTATAATAGTCGAGTAGAAATAGTTCTACTTAGTATCTCAGCCATTAGACAGTACTCACCACCATCGGCAACTTCCTTTGTCAGAAATATGACACTGTAAGCAGCATTGTGCGGTATAAAATACAGCGGTACGACTCGAACGTTTGGAGTATCCGAGTGCGATATTCTCACACCAAACTCGTCCATAATGTACCAAACTGGCATGCCTTCTTCGTCAACTTCCTAGACAAGACTGTGATACATACAATGTATGTAGTTGCTTGAGATAGAAGAGTTTCCAATTCCCACCGGTTTGAATCTCACAGTATACGTTTGAATATACTGCCACATTTTACGAAGGATTTCGTCCACCACAGTATCATTTTGCTTGACAACGTAACAAAGGCGGGCATCGATAGATTCAGGACGAGGAATAGGAGCAGCTAAAAGGCCGATGCTTAGCACTGGGTCCTGTGAAAGTAGAGTGTGGAAAACTCACTGCTATCAGAAGATGTCTGTAGCTTCTCTTCAACTTTCAAACGTTCTTGCTCATCAGTTGTCATTACATCTTCATCACTGTCACTTTGGTGATCAACAAAGACGCACTCATCATCCGCCTAAATTGAAGCAAAATTCAGTGACAAATAATTAACGACACTTCCCTCGATCAGCTAGGTGCAGTAAGTAATCGTTCTAGAAAGTAAAAATGAAAATGTGAAAAGGAGGCAGTGATGAAAAAACAGAAGAAACCAACAACAGCATCGAAATAAGGACCCCATTTCAATAAAGACTGCGCTAAAACAACGAGGCACACTGCAGCTAGGAGAGGGCACAGACGAGATAGCATGTCAATCGAGAGAACGCAGACACCACACGTGTTTGGGAGTGGAGAGCCGCAATCAGTCGCATCAGGTAAGCGACCCCCTAGCGCCTTTATCGTATACGTCTGAGTCGCAACTGTGGGACTACCGTCGCGTCTGCTAATCCAATTGCCCCATTATTGGATACGCAGTCGCAAAGGTAGTACCACAGCCGCGACTCAGAAGTGCGCGATAAAAGCGCTAGTTGTTGCTTACCTGATGCAGTGAATGCGGCTCCCAACTCCCCAACACGTGTAGTGTCTGCGTTCACTCGGTCGACATGCTATCTCGTCCGTACCCTCTTCTAGCAGCAGTGGGCCTCATTGTTTTAGCGCAGCCCTCACAGAGGAAATTATGACAAGAACACATTCGGGAGTGGTCGGTCAAGGACGAATACCACGACTTAAGAAGTCAAGCAATTCTGGCCATTTCGGTCATGCTAGTGTGTGGATGTTTTCGAGTGAGTCGGTAGTTTTGAGTGGACGGATTGTCAAGGTGGTCAAGAGGAAGATACTAAATAAATACAGAATCTTTAGTACATAATAGTGAAATTTAGGAAACATTACGCACTTGGTATTCAGTCAACTGGTGAAGAGATTGTGTAGGCAAACAACTAACACCACTTAATTGCGCCTTATCGGTCTCCTTCCAGAGTATTCGGATATTAATATTCCGCATTTCAAGGTATAAAATCAATAAGATTTCACATGCATACAGACATAAGTATTGCATTCGATTGGGACGATGAATGTTCAACGACGTTTGCCGTGCCAACCTTTACGTGCCGCAGTGGGGCTCGCTGTGGGAGAGCAGGGTCAACCGTCCGTTCGAACAGTTCGAACGGGGGGGGGGGTGTCGCATTTGGGCTCTGGGAGGGAAAAGGGGGTCGCATTGCGCGCTTCGGTCATCAGGTAGGGCAGAGGGTGTGTGAAAAAAGTTGCCGTTTCAGTGGTTGTATATACCCCCCCCCGCTCGACGGCTATTTTTGGGGAAAAAGTAGGCGGAGTTTCGGAGTTTTAGGTGGGCTGTGTCGACTGGTCTCAGAGTCAAATATTATAGAAGAGGGAGAGGTCGCGGTGGGGGGATGGCTGGTTGTATTGGGGGGTCGCAAATGTGTATTGGTGGGGGTCGCAACTTGGGACCCCTCTCGAGAGGAGGGGGTCGCAAAAATCCCGAAAATAATTTGTAATCCACGTGCCGGCAGCGGGCTCGTTTGAGAGCCAGCGAAATGCAGAGGACATTCACGCTTCAACCACCGCTGACAGAGCGCATTTTGCCGTAAAACCGCACCCAGTTGTCTATTTGGATCCTCCTCTACCCTTCACACTGATCTTCCTCTCTTTTACACAAACGTTTTACCGCAAGTTCTACTTTTCAAAAACAAATTGCACGGCGGTGTTCGAGCTCATCTCAAAATGCAGTTTCATTCGAAATTGCACCCATAAACTCTGGCATCATCTATCCCACCATGGAGGATTGGAATGATGGGCCTTAGACTCTGTACAGGATTTGACCTGCGACCATGACGACCGGTTGGAACAAGCCACACTCCACTTTTCTACACACGGTTGAGAGCACCAGAACGCATAACACAACACCACGAAATTACTTCTTTTGTCGTTGACTGGCACTCAACGGACAAGAACTTTCTTGCTGAGGGAAAACAGCCGTAGTAAGTCTCACAAAAAAAGGATGGGTTACTTTCAGTGGCCGTTTGAAGTGAGGTGTAGGCCAGTTGAAGCACACGCAGATATTGTTTACAAACCTGGATTCTATCGGTTTTACAATGCTACAAAACAAGTGGCGGACACGAAGCTACACTTTGAGCATTGAGCCCAACATTCACATTATACGCACGGAGGATTCGGATTTCTACCTAGAGACCAGTGGATATGTAAATGGGACCGCATCTGTATAGCAGGTGCACGAATCCTTGATGGGCGTGTTTTTTTTCTGCGCTTTTTCAAAATGCTCCCCTGCACATTTAGAAAGCATTCCTTCGATTCCTTTGATCAGAAAAGGCCATCTTGCCGAAAATTGGTGTTTTTGAAGAAATGGGACCGGTTTGTGTAATTCAGTGATGACTAGGTCTGGGTTGCAGGTTTCTTAGGCACTACTTTCCTAGTACCCTCCCTTTCAAAAAACGAGAAGAGCGTCGGGTGCAGACCATACACCACAAGTGACGACGGCCTCCAAGTAAATCTGGTTAGTAGTGGTTCATAGTGATAGCTGATTTCTGCAACAGGCTAATCATTTCATTGGCAGAAAACATTTACATTTTGTGGAGGCCGTCGTCACTTGTGGTGTATGGTCTGCACCCGACGCTCTTCTCGTTTTTTGAAGGGGAGTATATCAAGTATACCCAATCCTTTCACCTTGGGATTGTTCAGCGTCCTGACTACTCAATCAAAGCCGGTGTTCAAAATAAATGCAGCTTGTATGATTACAATGATAACGCTTTTATTACCCTAAAATCCCATAGATAAGAGCGGTCCATAGATATTTTTTCAAAAATAAAATAAAAATAAAAATATTTTTTCAAAATCATTTTTTACCGGTAAATTAAACCGCTCTTATCTATGGAATTTTACTGATCGAATGGGCTCTTCAAGTTCTATCCAGAGATCAAATTCCGGCATTTCTAGAGAGATTCCGGCAGAAATTCCGTTAAAATCGCTATTTTTCTATATGAATTGTTTATTAAGTGGGCGGGGTTTAGAGTTGAGGGACGGAGCTTCTTCTAAACTTCTTCTCCGATTTTTATTTATCCATCCATCAAGTTAGAGGGGTGACTGCATTCAATTTCAATTTCATTCCAATTCATTTG